GGCGCAAGTGGAATGTACAAAGCATGGTGACATTCATTTTTAAGTAAATATAATGGGCGATATATTGCGTCACCAAAAATTATTGAGGTCATGTACATATATTGCGCGATAAGTCGATATATTGCTTATTGCGACAGGCCTATTTATGCATTTGTAATTGCAGGGTAAATGCATTCATGTCTTGCATTAAACAAAATACATGTGTGTAAATACATCTAAATGCCACTTCAGATGCAGCTTCTGTGTTGATTTAATTTGCTTGCTAACAGCCCGAATGTCTTATTATTCTAATTCCTTGATTAAATGTAAGAATTTGACTCAAAAGATAATGGACACTTTTAGGAAAAAATGGCTTTATAAAGGTAAAAATGCCCATAAAATGTAAAAATCAGTTTAAACTTATTGGAAAAGATTAATTTCTATCAGTATGAACTGACCACCACACAGAATATGAAGAATATTAAAAACATTAGGAGTCAGCTGTCTTCAGCAGTCCTTAAGGTACCAGCACAATAACACACTCAGCAAAATATCGTCTAATTATCGTTACCGATAAAATCCCAGAAAATATCGAGATATTATTTTTGTGTCAATATCGCACACCCCTAGGTTCCGTACATTATTAAAATACATTTAGATTCAAACGTTTTACTTTATTAAAGTTAAAAAAAAAAAAGTTAGTAGTATTCTGCATGATTCATTTCATATCCTCCTGAGACCCAGCTATGGAGTTTTGTCCTCTGTAGAGGACATTATGTTTTAGCGATTTCTCTGAGACCTCACATATCACAGTTTTAAGTCTGGATGTCCTGTACAGAGCACATTCAGGGCTTTCCAGAGATAACAAATGATTGGATGTTTCACCATGACCACTCCCTCTCCTTGGTCTTTAAAAATGGCTGACATTCATTTAGTGATACAATTGTACATCCTTATGGAAATATGATGATATTTTGTAATTACAATTTAAATCAGATTAATTTTCTAATTGTTTGTCATAAATCAACATCTCAGGAAAATGTTATGGGGTTTCAAATCAAAATATGAGCTTCTGTTATGAAACAGGACATCATTTCATACATGTCCACTGTAGAGGACACCAGGACTAAAAGCATGTTTATTACACATTTTGGGAGACAAAAGAATTGAATAGGAAAACAAATTATATCTAATATTTCATAAGAATATCGATATATTATTGTGAAAATCTCTACTCCCATCACTACACTTCTTTTTTCAGCATGCTGTCCCAACAGCACTTTAATATGCAAATTAGATACAGTGTATAGATAACATTGTGCTTAATGGGAAAACCAGTTTATGGAATTTTTACACACATATTGCATAAAGCAAAATGGTATATCAAATCATTTTGTTATATATATTTCATAACATAGTTGAAAACCATCCTTAAACAAAGTTAACCTAAAAATTGATTGGTGATTTAAAAAAAAATTCCCATTGTTTTTGCCTTTTCATGTCTATTCTTGTCATTTAATTTTTTTTTTTAGAAAAACTGAGTCCTGGTGTCCTCTACAGAGGACATAGCATAACATATAAATAAAATATAATTTTCAAAAATGTTATTTTACCATTTTTTTCTTATGCTCTAAACAATGTAATGACATGAAAAATACTAAATTCACAACGCTTTTTAGTTCTGGTTCTCAGGAGGATATAGTAATAAAACTGATTACAACAAACATTTCTTCGATGTATAACACTGTACACACAATTCAGACAGCTTTAAAATCGTAAGGATTTGTAGAGTTGAAAACAATTCATTTCTAAGTAGGGATGCACGATATATCGGCCACCATATCGGTACCGGCCGATAAATGCTCATTTTTTCTATTATCGGTATCGGCCTGATAAGAAAATTTGTCCGATATCTTAAAGCCGATAAATAATGCATTATTTCCTTCAGAGACACTTCAGATGCGCGCTGTTCGTTTGCAGCCTTTTGTGCAATTGTACATTGTAATATTGTGTTTATTTGATGTATATCTGATTTATCTCATATAGAATGCGTTTGGTTAAGTTAAAAGAGCGCTTCAGTTTACCGGTGATCATCTTTAGCTCAGCACACGCAGCTCAAACAGCAGTGCACAACATTAATAACTATGATTGGGAATGGTCAAAACAACCCAATTCCTGGGTTTGTCCCTATTTTACCCAACACTGAGTTGTATTTAACCCAGCATTTTTTAGAGTGTATGCTTTTTACGAGACAACTTGTTTAGCCAAAGTATTAATGATTGTATGTTTTGTTTTACTTCATACATATGTATTAAATTATGTTAACCTTGAGGGAAAAGACTGATGATGTGATTGCTGAGAGATACTCTAATATGAAGCCACACTGATAGCACCTACTTATATTAGACAAATATCAGATATTTTAACACTGTAATGTGTCATGTGGGTTATTGATCTAATACAAATGCATGCAACAAAATCCTATTTAAGAACTAAGTAGCTACAGTATGCCTGCTCTTATGCTGTCAGCAGAGGGCAGTACTGCTTAATAGTTTGCACTGTGGCGTGATCTGCCTTACAAAACTGCTGGCTGATCTCCACCATCACATCCCTGACCACTTTTGATCAGCCAATGAACAAACAGTTTAATGTAAACGCCACAAATCACACCACCATATACACATCATTTACTAACGCACATGTAAGTCCATATATCATTGAGTCAATTACAACAACAAATTTTATTTTGGTCCTCATGCACAATTTTTCATAATAAATAAGGATAAAAAAGATACATAATGACTGAAAATTTGTAGGCTGAAGCCTTATTTTGCCTACCCTTTTGACATATTTATCTCACAATATCTGAGCTAGATAACAGAAACATTTCCCAAAATCTAGGCCTACATAACAAAAGTACACATTTCAAACATTAATACAACAGTTTATATGAATATTATTCATATTGAGTTATATAATTAATTATCACACCTTTTTTAAACATTTTCTTGAATTTACAAAGTGACCTACACATTTTTAATTCCTTGTCACAGTTTACCCCTTTGATAGATATACATCTAATTTTTATATTCACGAAAGCATTTATTACACATTGGCTATCAAACTCTGAGAATGCAAAGCAACATCCCAAGTCTAATTAGGCTTGTGTTACAAGGTGTTAATTAGGTGTTACACAAAGCTAGTTTCAGAGTAGGTTTAGAGACAAAATCAAACAAATCAACCCAGTTCAGGTTAGGTTTAGCGGGTTCACAATTCTTCACACACACACAAAAAAAAGAAAAAGTGGAATTTACGGTAAAACATTCGCAGCTGTGTTTGCCAGAACTTTACCGTAAAAATATGATAGCAACCATTTTAGGTTTTACGAATTGAACTTTAATTTTATGGAAAATAAAACTTATATTTGATAAACTGATATAACGTTAATATACCAACCCACTGAAGTCGTTTTTTTACCTTTATAATACTCTGACAGCCACCAAAAAAACACAGGTAGTAATGGGAAAGCCACACGTAGAATCAAAGCTCATCACAAGCAGCTTTTCCATAAGATGAGGTGAATAATACTAATATATAGAAAGTGAACACGAATACACAATACAAAAAAATAAAAGTACAAAACAAATGTGTGGAATCTGCAGTAAACAGTCAATCACACGAAACAGCATCAGTTTGATTCACTTCTCTCAAGAGAGTTGCACAATTCACTTCTCTGCTGAAAATTT